CTCGTTCTGTGAACCCTAATCTGTCCCTCCCCATAGTTACATTAAACAGTGAAATAGCAGGCACGGTCTGTTTGGACTGGGATGGTTGATAGAATCTATCAGGGAAAATGAAATAATTCTGGAAAGACGAGAGGGTAGGTCTGTAGGGGATAAAAAAAAGTCCGAGCTGTGTGAGTTGCACACAGGCGTGCCCAGACCCTCGATGTCAGGAGGAGAGGGGAAGGGTCCAGGGGTTTCTGTGTTTCCTGGGCACCTCCTGAAGAGCGGAGCTGTTGGCTGCCCGCTCCCCCGCTCCCTGCCCGCCGCCGGCCGTCAGCCAGGCAGCAGGGAGGAGAAGCCTTCAGGAGGGCAGGCTCCTGCTGGGGGGGGATTGTCTAAATCGTAACACCACGTCTGAGTTTTCCCCTAATAGTCATTAACAGAAATATTCCCATAGAATAAAATAGTATATTTGTCTCTCGTGAGAAACATACTCGTGTTTCCTTCTCTGAAGACCCTTTCTTGTCTGCGAGCACTTTCATATCCGTTAATTTTTTCCAGGTACTTGGAATAAAAGATATTTGCTCTTCATGTTCTCCCAGCGAGGGAAGTTAAATCACTTCAAGCGTGACTGGCTTGTTGTTAAACGTTGTGCTAACTCCTTTTACTTGGTGGCTCTGAGAGGAGAAAGGTTTCAGTGCAGTTCAGTGATACAATTAACTGAACAAGTAGATTTAGTTTCAGTTTCTCTGGTCAGATGCCTTCTTCTTGGAGGCCCTTTGGCAACGGTGTTCATTGTCCGGGGTGTGCCTGGGCTATCTTTGCCTCTCGAGGCATTTCTGGTCAGTCCAGCTGAAGTTCACACTGATTTACAAGAAGGATTACCTTGAAAGTTTAAAATATATTTATAGATCATACACACAGAATCAAGGTTCTGAACACTTAGACAAAGCTGTTTATAATAAACATATCTGAGTCATTTGCTGACTGTGCAACAATGTTTATTACTTGAAATAGGAGAGAAATCATGCTGTAGTCTCAGTGTGGACAGAGAAACAGCAAAGTGTGAGGGAAAAATAGAAGATGATGCTTCCTGCTAACAGGGTCTCTATCGCTGTGCCTTCCCTCTGCTAGACCCGTGGTTTTTAACCCCCCTTCATGCTCAGTGTGCAGGGACGGTGGCACGGCTCTTCAGACGGGTTTGAGAGCTTGGAAGTGAGTGTGTTGTGTTGTTTGTTACCGAGTGTATTCACAGCTCTGGCTGCTCACACGAGTCTTTGGATTTTGCAGAGATTTTTGTTTAACATGCTTCTGGCACGTGGCTCCTGCGCCCGTGGCGCCGGCAGTTTTGGGGCAGTTCTCGCTGCGAGAGGGGCTGGTGCAAACCTGCTGCTCTCCTGGCTTCGGTTGGCTAAGGGAAGGGACTGGGGGCACGGTGAATGCCACAGAATTAGGTGCAAGAAGAAGTTAAATTATCTTATGAATTATTCTGTCAACTACTGATCTAAAAGCAAGCCCTGGGTTTCTCTGGCAGTAGTCTCCAGCCAAGTGATGGCTCCTCAGAGACTTGAAATAAAACGGCAGCCAAGTCCCTCGTTTCACGTTTCCCCAGGGTGTGCTCCCACAGCAGCGAGGCTCCACCGGTGCCGTTTTAGTGCCAGGGTCACAGGAGTGACTCTGGAGGGGCAATAAAGCCTTTGGGTTTTGATAACAATCTCAATAACTCTTCTCAGTCCCTTGAGCAATCGTTGCCTTAAAAAAAAAGAAAACAGAACAAACGCTCGTGTACAAAATCCTTGCGGTGCTCTTCGCAAACCACCGGCACCGTGCTGGCTGTCTAGGTTGGAGTTTTGCTCCCATCAGCACAACAGGCTCCCCCCCTCTTTTTTCTTCCACGTCATCCGTTTTAAACATTCCTAACAGAGCAGAAGCAAAAGTAAAATTCGCTGTCTTCTATTAAATAGCTGCTCCTCTGCAGTACGCCCCCCCTAGCATCATCAGCCTTAGAAGATTTAAAGAAATAACAAGTTTTGAGCAGTTGAGCTGCTGAGCAGTTACCATTCCTTTCTTTTGCAAGAGAAACTGTCCAGTTTTGAGGATGGTGTTTTATACCTGAATACGAGCACCAAAAATGCATAAAAATCATAGACCGTTGCTGAGGAGAAAGTCTGGAAGGAGTTTTAGGAGCCATGAAGACGGATGGGAGCATGCTCTGCCTGTTAGAGTTGCAGGTCTGGCCTCGCTGAGGGTTGGTACGAGCGGAGCCGGCGTGAGCCACCGCTTTTATCTCATCCTTGGCAGATGAAATGGCAAGAGTAGTCCCTCCACGCTCACCTCCCTTGTCTCTCTGGTCTGCTGCTTCAGAGAAAGCTCTTTCACCAGCATGAAGGCTGCCGGTTTGTCGGGCAGGTAGGACTGACTCTGCTGTTGTGTCTTCCCTGGGAGGAAATGGTTGGCTTGAAGAGGGGGGGGGGGGGGGGTAGAGTGTTTTTACACAGTTGCTGCATTTGCTAAAAAGTTGACTCCAGCACTTTCTTAGAAGTTGGATTTTTTAAACCAAGGGGGAAAGGACTCATTTAGTCTGAGCAGTGCCATGAATAGATCCCCTCTAACTTCATCTCAGGGCTCCCTTGTCAAGCCCATAGCACCTGGCTGAGCTGTAAGATCTGGGATTTTTATCTTCAGTTTCCTCCCCTTGCCATTTCCAAGAAGCATTCAATAACTTTCCTTTTGTGTTGTGCTTTACGACGGAACTATTTTGGACATGCCAGAAAGAGCAAGTAATGCCAGAGTGAGTGGTGGCAGAGGAGCTGTTGCAGGGTGCTGGGAAGGGTGCTTTGGGCAGGTGGGCGATTGTACGTGACAAGAAACTAATATACGAGTATTTAAGTGTCTAGGTTTCATCATTTTATATTCAAAGCACCTCAACTGGGTGCTATTAAGAAAAATTAGTAAATGGGCATGGGTCATAGGTGGGAGAAACTTAGAACCTGAATTTAAAAGCGTTTCAGTTCCTGCACCTAATGTCTGCTCCAAAATCTGTAACAGCTTTTTTATTTTTCAGTTTTCAACAATAGATGCTGCTGCCGTGGAGGTCATTAGTGCTCAGCCGCTGGCACCAGTGCTAGCTCTGGTCCAGGGAGTGTTAGAGAATGGTTTTTAAACTCTTAAAGGTCCAAAGGAACTCAGACATCTTGGATTCTTCTAGCCACAGAACTTAAACTTCCATTGGACATAACGTTCACTGAGCTAATGGTTTTTCAGCAGAGATACGGTTTTTATTAAAGAAACAAAACCTGGAGTCTCTTCAATTATAACCTGCTTGGAGGGAAAGAGGGAATTTTTTACATTAAACAGTCAAGCTAAAGAAAGCATCAAACACCAAATCTCAAAAGGCATCCCGAGTGCACAATTGTCACTAACACAGCTGTCCGGCCTGACGGGTGCAGGCTGCAGTAGCCACGGTGGCCACGGCTTGGCTAATTTTGTGGTTCATAGTCACCCGTCAGGTAGGCTGACGAACAGCGTGCCTAGGGTCTCCGGTCTCTGAGTCTTGGACTTTTTATTCTCTTTTCCACATGTTCGTAACGCAAAAAGCCAGACCAATTTGAAAAGGTCGTCTTGACCTGCTGGGAACCAGGCTGCTTCCTTTAAGAGAAGGGGGTGGGCGGCGGCTCTGGACTTTCTCCCCAGTTAAGCCGCTGACTCACTGGACAGCCCAGGATCCAGCGTCCACGTCGCGTCGCTGTGGTAGCGATGGAGCCTCGTGTTTCGTCCCTTGCCAAGCTGTACCTCGGCTGTACCCACCTGTGAATTGGCCGGACCTTCCTACCTCGTTTGGGCATTATGAGGCTAAATTCTGTAGGATGCTTTGCAGCCCTGTGATGAAAGGTGCTATATAACTGCGAAATGTTACTTCAGAAGGTTTAAATAGGTCACCAGTCCATCATAACCTATATTAAAAAGACTTTTTCTTATATGAGAATTTATAGAGTTCAATGTATGGTATTAATAAGTGAATTATTGAGACCCCAAAAATAGTTTTTGTTTGAATCGTATCTGTATTCTGGAAAAGTGATTAAAACCCTTTAACCTTAATAAAAGAGTACATCCTCATTTCCTGTATGATGCCAGAATCAAAGTTTAAAAGCAGAATCGCACAGATTTTAAGGGGCAGAGGGGTTAGTTGTTTCTAAATATCTTCACAGCAAGGCTTGGTCTTTCCCACGTGGCTCTAGAGCAGCTCACATGGAGTTTCGCTCTTCGGAGCCTCTGGGCTCAGCAGCAGTTAGCTCCATCCCCAGCAGTTTGTCATCCCACCGCCAGCGCAGGGGACCCGGTGGCTGTGGGAGCGGTGCCCGACGCCGTCCGCGAGCAGGAGAGTCCTGGGGACCGGACGTCACCTTTGCTCTGTCCCTGAAATGCCAAAATTGCCCGAGAGCCATGGAAACCCCGCCGCTCCCCTCGGCCCCTCGCGTGGGCCGTGGCTCCCAGCCAGGGCAGGGAAGGGCTCACGGGTTTCCGAGTGAGGTCCCAAAGGCTCCTCGCTGTTAGGAGCTTTACTCCCTGGGGTTTTTAAGACCCCGATCATGCAGCTGGTTTACGCTTATTTTGAACTGTGCTGGTGCACCCACAGCTGGCCAAGTGCCTGTACGGCCAGCGTAGCCTTGGTGTTTGATGAGACTACTGAGAAAAGAGAGACGGTAATCACAAACAAAACAGCATTACACAAGTGCTGAACAAATGCCCCCAGCAGCCTGAAGAATGAGCAGCCAAAAGTGCGCACGCCCTAGTGCAGCCGTGCTCACCGGCCGGCGTCACGGGGGGAGCGCCGGGGGCAGCGAGGGAGAGCAGTTGTTTTAATGGAGGGTTAATATATTATTATGCAGCCGACAATTCCACACCATCATTTGGGGCAAGCTGGGGTTGCTGGTGTTCGCCTCAGGAGACAGGGAAAATTGGAAATGCGGTTAAGAACGATGGTGTGTGAAGTGCAGAAGGGGTAAAGAAATAACTGCGTCTTCTTGTTGACTAACTCTGTTGCTTATTTATTTGGGGTAATTCATTACACAGGTTATAGGAATCGAAACCCAGCTGATTGCCAGGCAGAGCCCTGTTCACCCACGCTTGGGACACAGGGTGGGACACATGCCACGGGTCAGTCCAGCCTGTCATCTGTCACCACGCACAGTGTGAATTAAACACAGCTCATAACCAGCCTACCCCCAGCCTTGCCAGCGCCCCAGCTTTCTGGGGGAGACAGCACAGGGCTGAAAAAGCTGCAAGTTCGGGTCTGTTCCCGGACCCCTGCGAATCCTGAGGTGTTTGGGGATGCCTGTGCCCCGACCACGCAACAACCACCACCACACCCCCACCTGCAAACCCCGTTTATTGGTGTCAACTCATTGCCCGAGCGGATCCGCAGCTCCTAAGAGGGTGGCTGGGTTGCTGCGGGGGTCTGCGGGGGCTTCCCAGTGCCTGCCACCCTGCCTGGCAGAAACCTCGGGCTCAGGCACCTCCTTGGCTTCACTCGGGGTTGTCTCCTGGAGTTGTCTTGCCCTTGAACAGCTCGGCACCGGCTGCCGCGCCGAGCGGCCCCGGGGTAGATGTCAGCCCGATTTTGGCACCGAGGGAGAACCCTGCAGCTCCTGCAAAGACAGAAAGAGGCGTGATGCCCTGGGAGCATTGAAGGTGCCTGCTGAGGGACCGAGCACCGGGCACAGGGAGCCAGGGACCTCTCCTGGGCAGAGACAGGCAAGGATCTCTCTGGTCTGTGCCGGGGAGCCGGCCTGGGAGCGGGCTCTGCGCCCGCAGCACAGCCAGCCCCCTCCTCCTGTCCTCTTCTGGCTCCAGCCAGCGCTGCCCACCAGTGCAGGCGTTGGTCTTGCCAGAAGAGCAGACGCCCACCTGCACGGCCCCCCCCCCCCCCCGATGTCCTCAGCCACCGTGCCCTACCCCAGCAAGCCCTGAATCTTCCTACTGCATCGCGGATTTACCCCTTCCTCCCCAGTTTTGGGTGCTTCAATCCGGTAGCGGGTTGAAGGGCTGGTTTGGCCACTGCCTATAACCCCCCCCATGCAACCCCCCCCCACCCCACCCCACCCCGGGGGATGAATCCAGCGCAGCTCAGCCCCCCCGCTCACCCATGGACTGCAGCACGGCCACGGTGCTGCCGGCAGCCCCCCCTCGGTTGTTGGCCATGGCAGCCACTGACATCATCTTGGCAGCCACGGACCCAGCGGCGACTCCGGCTGCCTTGAACCCCAGAGCAGAGACGGCCGCCGGGACCCCAAGGAGCACCAGTCCTGCAGGCCGGACACCGCGGTGTGTCAGGGTGGTCTCTGTGACCCACATCCCCCCCACACACACACACACCCCCCCACCCCATCACCACCACCAGCGTGACGGATCCGGCCTCCCAGAAAGGTGTGGGAGCTGGGGGGCTGCGGGGACGGGGGACACCCCCGCCCTCGGGGAGGAGAGGAGAGGCACGCAGGGTGCAGACAGATTTCCAGGCGCAGGCCGGCGCTGCCCCCTCCCTCACAGCAGCACCCAAAATCACCCCCCCGCACCCTCGCAGCCCCCCCCCCCCCCAGCTCCCCCACTACCAGCCCGGGAATGGGACCGGGCAGCCAAGCCGAGCGCTGCTCATGCCACGCCAGCGCCTCACCTGCTCCGACAGCGGCTCCGATGGTCGCTCCTTTGGCTTTATCTTTCATCGCCAAGAAGAAAAATAAAAAAGGCAGGCGGGCAGGCAAGCTTCGCTCGGGCGGGGCCGAGCGCCCTGTGCCCCCCCTTCCACCCCCCACCCCCCCAAGCCCCTGCAGCCCCCCGGGAAGCGGCAAATCCCCCCCCCCCCCCCCCGCCAGGGCCGGGAGGAGAGATGGGGCGCACCCCGGGGTGCCCCCCCGCCGTACCTGGCTGCCCGCTGAGTCGGAAGGGTGGGGGGCTGGGGTGGGGCTGGGGCGGGGCTGGGGTGGGGCTGGGGTGGGGCTGGGGTGGGGCTGGGGTGGGGCTGGGGCTGGTTCCGGAGCCGCCCCGTCCCGCCCCCCACCCCCCCCCCCCGGGCCGTCCCCGTTCGGCGCATCAAGACCCGGCGGGGGAGGCGGAGTTCTGTGCTGGGGCGTCTTTATTCGGGGGGGGGGGGGGGGGGCACGGGAGCTGTGCAGGGGGGGTTCCAGCGGGGGGTACGGGGCGAGGGGAGGGGGTTGTCGCAGCGGGGGTCGCGGGGGGGGGGTGGGGTGGTGTCACGGCAGACATCTGTGAGGGTCCTCCTGGGGATCGGGGAGGTGTGTGTGTGTGGGGGGGTCACAGAAAGAAAGCCCTGAGGACAGCTGACAGGACAAACATCTCTTTTGCTGTGCCTGAGGAAGAGAAGGAGAAATCAGCCCGAGCCCGCCCCCCCCCCCCCCCTCCCCCAGCCCCGGCACGGGCCCCCCACTGCACCCCCATGGCCTGGGGGGGCACCCTGAGGAGGATCAGTGGGGGGGTGTGTCCCCCCCCAGACCTCACCTCCCTGCTGCCATCGGGCATCCCCGCAGCCAGGCCAGCACAGCCACCCCGGGCACCCCAGAGCGGGTGGCACCCCGGGGGTCCCCACGGCCACCCCAGGCCCTCACCACCCCGGGGAGGCTGAAACACGGGGTGCACTGTGGTGACACCCCCACACCCACCCCCCCCACCCCCCCCGGGCACCCCGTGGCACCGTGCCGGGAGCACTCACTGAGCAACACTTCTACGCCCACCAGGATCCTCGAGGCCACCAACCGGGCTCCTTTTCTTGCCCCGGTGAAACCCAGAGCGTCCAGGGCTACCGGCACCACAGCCGCGATCCCTGCGCCACGGAGAGCAGCGGCGGTGACGCCCCCGCGGGCACGCGCCGGTCCCCAAGCTGCAAAACGGGGGTCCCAGCCCCAAAACAGAGCGGTGCGTGGAAGCAGAGCGGGCAGCCTCCCGGGGCCGAACCTCCCCCCCTAGCCAGGGCACCAGTGGGGTCCTGCTGATGGGCTTCCTGGGGCAGGCCGGGGGGTAGTGTTTTGGGGACAGGGCAGCACCCTCCCTCTTTCCCCCCCCCCCCCCCAAGAGGGGTCGGTGTGTGCAGAGCAGCAGGATGAAGCCCCAGAAAAGCCATCGATTTTTGCAGGGCGTCAGCCATCCCTGTGTCCACCAGCGTCTTACCGAGCCCTATGGCCACCCCGATGGCGCAGGCAGCAATAGTACCTGTAACAGAGGAGAGACGGGGGGGGGGGAGAGGGTGAGACGGGGCGGGGGGGCGATCAGTCTACAGGGCTGAAGGTGAAGGAGAGCTGCTGCCCTCCCTCGCTCTGGGCAGCACAGCAAGGGGCTCTTCCAGCCCCTGCCCACAGCCCCGGCCCCCTCCTGCCCACCCGAGCAGCGTGTGCCCCTTCCTGGGGGCACCTGGTGCCTCCCCACCCCACCGACCCCCCCCAAACAGCCCAGTCCAGCTTACCCATGGTGGGCTGGGCAGGAGCGAGGCAACTGCTGGAGCAAGAGCTGAGCTGGCTCCGGCCCAAGCCTGATCCTTCAGGGAGCAAGAACATGAGTTTCTTCCTCAGGCCCACAGCCACCCCCCCTCCCACCCCATCCTGCCCCCCAGGAGCCCCCAGTCACCCCACAACAGCAGAGACCCCCCCTGGACTCTGCATTTCTTCCCAGCCCAGGGCTTTCCGCTGGGCCAGTGGGGCGAGCAGCCCCCCAACCCCCAGCTTTTGGGAGTCCCCCTCCTCGGAAAAGGGGTGCTGTCCCCAAACTGCCCGTCGTAGGGCCCCAGCACCCTGTGCCACCAACCTGTCCGTCCGCCGTCGAGCAGGAGGTCAGTGCTGTGGAGCGCAGCTGCCGCTGATCACCGGGGCCCCAGATGACACCGGGAGAGCAGATTTCCAAGAAACCCCTTTGCTGAGTTTCGGTTTCCCTGAATTCTTGGTCTGCCCTGGTGTTAACCTTTGCTGCGCCTGGCCCTGCTGGTGCAGGAGGCGGCCGGGCAGCGGGACTGTGGCTTCCCTGTCCCCGGGGGTCGGACCCCAGCGTTGGTCCCCGTGGGAAGTCCTCTGCCCCCCTCGACCCCTCTCACGGTGCCGTGGCTGCAGGGGAGGTGCTCCTCACACCCGTGCCGTGGCGACTGGGGCTTTATGGAGCATTTCCCAACCAGGTTTGGGGCTGGTGGAGCTCTGCAATTTTTGACGAAGACTACAGGCCATCCAGGCACCTGCCTCCCCCTCCACTGAGCAGCCTCAAAAACCAGCCAAATCCCCGTTTTGCAAAGCCCCTCTCCCCTGCTCCCTGCACCCACTCCTCACCCCGAGCCCACCCGGCGCAGCCCCTCCAGGCCGGGGTGGCGAGGGAGCAGCGGGTGCCGTAGCTCATGCGCCGCTGCAGCTGGTTGAAGGGGACCAAATCCAGTTGCAAGTTGATCTGGTTCCTTTTTACCAGCCCCAGGGACGCACCGTCTCTCCGGACGTGCTGCCTGGGCCGGTGCTGGTGGTGGTGGGTCCCCGGCGTGGGGGTCCCAGCCCAAAAATACATACTTCTTAACATTCCATAACGCCGGCCGACTCCATATGGGCATATGAAGAAGTATGTAGGGTTGGGAGGGAGAGGTGGGCAGCGTGGGGCTGGGCATGTGGGGCACGGGATCACCATGGGTCAGGATGCACCAGCTGCACCCCCCCACACCCCAGCACCCCACGCTACTCCGGCACCCTGCAGCACTCCAGCATCCCCCCCCAGCACCCCCCCTGCACCCCACATCACCCCATCTCCCTCCCTGCTGCAGCCCCTGTGCCAGAGCAGCGGTTGCAGCTCGGTGGAGCCAGGGCCAGTGCTGGGGGGGACCCATCTCCCGCACCCCCACCCGCCCTGCCTGGCTCATTTGCAGGGCTGGGAGAAGGACTGGGGGGTCTGGGCTCTCCCCACCCCTCCCCACGCCGCAGCTCTGGGCAGGGGAGGCCAGAGATACCTTTGGCCACGGGAGGGGGGTTCAGCCCAGATCTCAGGGACTTGAGACCATAATGGGGTTGTGGGGGGACTCCCCAGCCCCGGCCCCGCATGGCCAGGGCAGGGTGACGGAGGGGGCGAGTGTCACCACAGCCCCTCTGTGCCTTGGCCCCAGTGACCTTCCTACCCCTAAATTGGTGGCTGGAGCAGAGCGATGGTGGGGGACAGGGAGCTGTCCTGGGGGGTCCCAGCCCTGCCCCCTCCCAGGACGGGGGAGCGAGGGGTGCGCGGGGGGCCGGGACGTGGGCAGGAGGGACGTGGGGCTGGCCAGGCCCGGCGCGGCCGTGACTCAGCGCCGGGAGCGGTGGCCACACGCGCTGCAGCTCTCTGCAAGGAGCCGGTGGGTGCCAAGTACCCGCTCACCCCACCGGCCCCGCTCGCCGCACCCACGGCCGGCAGAGACGTGGCTCGGTGGCCCCCAGAGCCACCAGCCATCACCGTGGGGCACAGGGCTGCTGCCAGCACGGGCTCGGTTCCCCCCAGGGTGCTCCACCAGCACCCCAGGACCTCCTGCATGGCCGGTCCCCAGGGACCCGGCGCTGGGGACCCCAGAGACGCGGCTCCCAGGACCCAAGTCCCCAGCCCGGCAGCTGCAGTGGGGCAGAGTGTGTCCGGCTGGACCAGCACCCCTGTCCCCCCAAAAAAACAAATTGAGCGGGTGTCCCGAGGCCGGAGGCTGCAGAGATGCACCCGCTTAACCCTTAAGGCTCCGCCGGGCCCGCAGTGCAGCGGGATGCTGCTGCAGAGTTTTGCTGGAGGGGTGCAGGGGATCCCAGGGACCGGTGGGGATGTCGGGGTGCAGCGGGAGCTGAAAGCCGGCGGCTGTGCCCACCCTGAACCCCCAGAGCCAGGGCGCAGGGTCAGAGCTCTCGCATCCCAGCTCAGTTCAGTTCCAGCCACCCCGGCTGACCTTGGGCAGCCTCCCAGGACTGCGGTGTTCGAGGTACCCCAGCCCGGGGGGCCCCACACAGCCCCAGCCCACACCACGGTCCCCACAGCCCTTGGCCAGGCTCTCCCAGTGACCTTGGAGGGCTGCACCCAGCACCGTGGGATGCTCACCGCATCCGGGGCACCCCATCTCCCCCAACCCCAGCCCAGGCCACCCCTGCCCGCTCCCATCACCCCTCCTTGCCCCTGCCCCACGGCCCTCTCTGTGCCCAGACGTTCCCGGTCATCAGCACAAGCCTCTCTGCAGCCCTGGGGGTGCCCCCACCTCTGCAGGCAGCCCTGAGCCCTCCCCAGCCCCAGCACTGCCCTTGCTGGCTGCAGACACATCCCTGAGCTGAAGCTCCCCGGGGAGCTCCCCCACGGCTCCCCGTGTCCCCACGGCTCCCCGTGTCCCCACGCCAGGCAGGAGCCCCCAACCCGAGCAGCCCCCACGTCCCCTCTCAAGAGCAGCTCCTTGCCCTGGGCAGGCTGGCTTGTGGGCACTGGGGGCAAGTGGCCTTGCAGGAGGGGGAGGTAGAGGAGCCGGGGGGGCTGCCGGGTCGGCCGTGGTGGCACCCACACGTTAGCAGAGCACCCAACAGACTGTCTATAAAAGGAAGAGTCTTTTTTCCCTGCTCCCCCCGGCGCCGCATGCCCGGCCGTGCTCTGCAGTCGCTGCCACGCAGGGGCCTTTCCAAGTTTTACTATTCGGCGCTGCTCCCACCCCCCCCCCCCCCCCCCAAGGCGGCTCCCCTCAGCTCATCCATCCCCAGCAAACCCACTGCAGCAGCCACTCCAGCCACCGAGCAGCTTAAAAAAATACCAAGAGGCCCAGTGAGGAGGAGGGAGGTGGGTGCAAGGGGAGAGCTGGTGGAGGGTGCCTGGGGGGGGCACCCAGGCCCCCATCTGCCGCCCCCTTTACCTGTGGGCACTGCCCGTTTCGGGGCTGCGGGCACGTGGCCCGTGGAGCCCTGGTACACCTGGTTGTGGTGGTCAGCGCTTCCCCCCCCCCCCCCCCCCCGGAGCACGTCCAAAATACGATGCCGAGGTACGCGGGAGTTGGGCTTCCCTTCCCACCCCATCCCACCTGCGTGGGGTCTCCCCGCTTCGCGTGGCTGCGGGCACCCCAGCCCCTGGGGAGGGGGCGACCTGCCCCGCTGCAGGGGGGCACCCGCAGGCAGATGGGCAGGACCCCTCCCCGGACCCAAGCACCCACCACCCAGCCACCCGGACCTCCCGGGGGTGCCCCACTGCCCCCAAAACCCCACAGAGAGTTTGCTCCTGCACCCCGCTCCTCCACCTCCACCCGGGCTGGCCCGAAGTGGCGGGGGGCCACGGTGACCCCCAGCCCCGGGGCTGCTCCCCCCCACCCCACCCACGCCGAGCGTGGGGCTGCGAGAGGCAGCAGCATCCCCAGCCCGAGCGGGGCTCGGCACCAGCCGCGCTCGCTGAAGGTTAAACGCCGGCGGTGGGGAAAGCCCCCGCCGCCCCCCGCAGACCCCGCACCCCCTGCCCCGCACGGCCACTTACGGTCCTGGGGGTGACACGGGTGGGGTGCGGGCTCGGCTGGTGGCAGCGGTGACACCCGGCACGAGCCCGCCGCTTCCCCGCTCGCCTTGACTTTGCCACAGGACTCCTCCGGCTCGTCCGCAGGAGCTTGCAGCATCCTCCAGTTCAGCGGGAGAAGTTCCTCGCCAGGGAGGGAGGGAGGGAGGGGTTTAAGGCAGCCCCTGCCTGGGCTGCGGACGCCTCCGGGCGCAGGTGGAGACCCTCCGCTCGCTGAGGCTCCCCGCAGCCCCCTCCTCACGCACCCCATCCCGGGCTCGCTGCCCCGGCACACGGTTTGCGGTTGTGCCCGGCTCCGGGGATGCTGCGGGGGTGATCTCTGCCGAGAAACCCCTCTCTCGTGGATGAGGCGGCCAGGGCTGGCACCGGCACGCAGCCAGACAGCCACCTCTGCCCCACGTCCCCCGGGGTGCCCGGCCGGGGTCCCGGAGCAACGCGGTGGGGAGGGCTGGGATGCATCGGGGGGGGGCCCAGCACCAGCCCCGGGGCAGCTCACAGGGCAAAGCGGAGCCCGTGGAGCGCTCAGGGGGGTGAAACCTGTCACCACTGCAGCCACAGGGGCTCCCCTGGGCGGGGGACCCCACGGGGACGGGGATCCCCAGGCTGCCCCAGGCCACCCACTCTGCGTGTCTCCGACCCCCACGGGGTGGCCGTTGTAGGATCCGGAGCAGCAAATCCCAGGGGTACAGGGCTGCTGTGCCCACTCCGGGACCCCGCCGCCCCCGGGGCTCCCGCCGGTCCTACCTCTGCCTGCGGAGAGCTGGCGGGGAGAGGGGGACCCCCCGCTCGGGGCTGCGGCGCAGGCAGGGCGCCGGGAGACACCTTATTGGGGTTCCCAAAGGGAAAAGCCAGAAAAACCCGCGCGGCGTCCCTCCCGCGGCGGTCCCGGCGGCTCCCCGCCTGCCACGGCGCCCTCCCCACCCCGGGTGCGCTCTGTTTGCCTGCTATTTTTGGCAGCCTCCTAAGAGCTTCTCTCGGGCTATTAATAATGAGAGTGCGAAATTCGTTTGGCCTCTCCTATATAAGGAAAGGTAGAGGCTTAGAGGCAGCTAAATATACTGGCGCGTGCGGGAGCAAGCGGGGAGGCTTTGGCACTGAGTGTGGAAAAGAGATTGTTTGAACAATGGAAAGATGGACTCACTCGGCGCACGGGGCCCCGCGCGGACAGACGGACGGACGGACGGACGGAGGGATGGGTGGATGGATGGATGGATGGATGGAGGGAGGGAGGGAGGGAGGGAGGGATGGATGGATGGATGGATGGATGGATGGATGGATGGATGGATGGATGGATGGATGGATGGATGGACAGCGGGTGACGGTGCCCGGGGGCCTGCACCGCAGCACCCGCTCCGCACCCCGATGCCCCACACGGGCCCCACTTCAGCAGGACGGGTGGCGGGAGAGGGGAGGAGATATCTGGGGCGGGGATGCCGTGCTCTCCCCCAAAACGCCCGTCGCTGAACCCACGGGGCCAGCAGCCACCCCGGGACAAACGCGAGGTGTGCGCCCGGCCGGGGGGGGGACGTGCTGGGTGCTGGCGGGGGGGAGCGGGGGGGGCTGCGGCAGGCTGACCAGGTCCCACCGGGACACAGCCAGCACAGGGTGGGTCGCTCCTGTAGCTGAGCCCCCTGCAACTCCCGGCCCCTCTCGGGGTGACTAACGGCTCCTGCCTCAGCTTTGCCACCCCGGCCCGGCCCTGGGGGGGGGCAGCTCCTGTGGTT